TTCATGTCTCGTTGAAGTACCAAATATATTTCGCCCCTATCTCATATCTCTTACCCCTCCCCCCATTCCCACCACCATCTCTATTCCCACCCCCATCTCCGCGTCATGACACTTTTTGACATTATTATGTCTTTGAATGGCACACACACGGTAAAACGACACCGACACCGGTTATTATAACGAAAAAATCAGCTCATTTATCTGATAAAAAATAAGGGAAGGAGATAGGGGGTAAGAGATGAGGGTTGGGGTGGGAATGGGGGGCATATATGTTGTATTTGTCTCCTATCCCCTATCTTCTACCAAAACCTAATCCCTTCCCCATTCCCAACCCAACCCCATCTCCGTGTGGTAACGCATTTTGTCCTGTAACACTTTTTTGGTAAAATTAAGTAAATAACACTTTTTTCGGTTATGTGCCAGAGCTAAGACATGAAAATGTCAAAAATTAGTACTTATGTGTGCAGCGCGTTAAGTTTATTTAAACTTATTGAACTTACTACCTTTTTTCATCAATGTCTTTAAGATACCTACATATGTAAGATACTTATAATTTCATATACATTTCATTGTACTATAGTAAAGTATGTAAATATATAGAAATATCATAAATAGATTAATAAATAATATTATAATATTATAAATTAGTAGGTCAAGTCTAAAATAAAATTAATCAAACGACTCGTGATGCAAGGGAATAATATTGATAATGTATATAACACTAACAATAATAATTAACAAATCATGTTTATCTTTCAGGTAAATTAGAGACATGAGGTTCAGCTGAAACTTATCAGTTTAAACTTTAAACATAGTCAACACAGGGTGATCCAACTAACTTTACACACACATTTTCCCTGAAAATATGAATATTTTGAGAATTTTTTTTCCTTAAACTTTTAGGTATATATTTAACTACATTTTTTTAATATTTTGAAAATTGTTTTCACCAATCCTTATAAGCCAAAAAGGGGGATTTTTGTTTTTTTAAATGGTAACATATGTTTTTAATTACATAAATTTGTAGACAAAAAATTTAAAAATGTGCGTTTGAATTTTTTATTTTCATTTATCTGATCATTAGCTATGACTTTGTAAGTATACTACATTTCCTCTTAATAAATATAATATTTCTTCAGTTTCCCAAAACCGGTAGCACATAAAATTCATATTTATGTTCGCATTGTCCAATTGGCGATAACATTCTAACAACTAGGAAGTCACTATAAAAGATTTTGAAATAATGATAGACAAACGGTTCTTATCTACACATTACTTAGATTACAGGTTATTTATTATATCTGATCATGATACAAAGTACGGTAACACGTAAGTTATTTCCCTACTTACTATGTAAAAAAACTACTCGTCTTTGTAGTAACGATTGAAAATATTAAGAAATATAGTCAAAAAATTAAATCTTTATAAAGTCATAACATAGAACAAATAAATAAAAAATGAATATTCAAACGCTAACATATTTTTTATTTTTTTGTCTAAAAATGTATGTAATCAAAAACATATGTTGCCATTAAAAAAAAAAAAAAAACCCCCTTTTTGGCTTATAAGGGTTGGTGATAAACATTTTTAAAATATTGAAAAATTTATTAAAATATATACCTAAAAGTTTAGGGAAAAAAAAATCCCAAAATATTCATATTTTCAGAGAAAATGAGTGTCTTACGTTAGTTGGAATTTGGATCACCCTGTACACTACTATATTACACTTTTATATACTATTTACTAAATAATATATACAATACACTATGTGCATTGAAATTATATATTCAAGTCCTATTTTCATATATATTCTATTATGTCAAGCTTAATAATTTAAAAATTCAATCGAACCTTTTGTTTTTGAAAAAACTGTTTGCAAAACATATAAAAAACTACTAAATATACATATATATATATATACAACTAAATACTGTGTATAATTACAGTAACTCAGATGTAACTTTGAATAGTAAAGACATCATGTACTCATAATGGGATACTTTTGTCTCTTATAAATTCAAATAAATTATTTACTATTGTTACAAAATGTATTTGTTGTGTAAGTCTAGTATATTAAAATTGCGTTGTGGACCCATTTATAAACAATATGTATAGGTATACTTAAGTCATTACCATGTATGGAAGTGCTACAACACATAAATGTATTGCTTATAAGTCTTTGCCCGTTAATCATATAATAGGCAGACCTAATAAAACGAGACACGATTAGGTGATATTATTATGATATAATATTATAATAAATTGAAAATGAAAAATATGATACAACAATATATTCTAGGTACGCGGTTACAATCGATTGACCCTAATGCTATTATAATATATCACATCAACTTTTACAGAAAAAAAAAATTCCTCGTTCAGTGCGGGTAGTGTTGAAAGCCAAAGCCATAACATTATAATGTCGTGTGTGACTCTTTTCAATAATTGGTAATGGCAATAGATAATATTTTTTAAGTGATATTTTATATTGGGTTTTGCACTCGACCGGAACTAGAGCGACAAATAACAATTGCGGCAAATGAAAAACTTAAACGTTAAACTGAAAAACGCACATAAAAAATTGTGTATATATTCATAAAAACTATTTTTATGTCGAATCGCGGTTTTGCCACTCACTAAATTTATATATTATTATTTTGCAACCACTCTAAGTAGGTATATTGTAAACGCGGTGTACAAGACAGATCCAACTGGTTTCACCAAAGTTAGGTTCGGTTGTAATGCGGACGATGACCGATTAATAATATTGTGTACGTGCAGAGTAGTATATTATTCAGGTACGAGAAATGAAACTCATCTGGACGGCAAAAACGGCAAAGTTATAATATTATATATTTTTGTATTTTGACGCTTGATTCACATAATAATATAATGAGGTACCTCTATATAGTAGCAGATGACGATATGGCGCTGGTAATAAATACATATAATTTACAGTATTTAAATAAACTTTGAAAAATGTGCATGGTTGATGCTGTAAAACTCTTATTTTTAATCTTTAAGTAACCGAATAGACTAAGTTTTCCGTAAAATAGGTTTTATTAAAAAACTAAAAACCAGTTATAATAATAATTGTCTGTTAAAAACGTCGCTTACCTAGTTAAAAGTGCCTAGTGTCCAGCTCTATTATTTTTTCCCCTTTTTACCTCCTTTCTTTTTGCCGCCCTTGTCTTTTTTATCGCCTTTACCATTCTGTTTCCCGGCCTTCTGAGGTTTTGCAGGCACTATTCCTATATCGGCGTCCAAGTACTGAGTTTCTTCTTCTTTGGTCGGCGAAACGTTCGTCTTCAGCTTGGGCATGCGCACCTCGATTTGTATTTTGGCTTTTTCGTCCGGCTCGTCGTGGCGCTTGCCCATCATCATCACAAACACATCCTCGTCGTCGTTGATCGGTAACCCGGTAACCGGACCAAACAACGGCTTTGTGCTTTTAGGCAATTTCGTCATCACTTGCATCACGTGCTTACGGGTCGAATCGCCCGCCACCGTGGGCATATTGTAGTAAACAGCACCGGCCGGCGCATCGATATCAGGAGGCTTCTTCAGGGTCGGGCCCATGTGGAAAGTGGCTCGGTTTTCCCGCAATCCCACTTCGCCCGGCAACAGATGCATGCCGGTGTGTTCGGTTTCTTTTTTTTTCGTTCGGTCTTCCGGTTTGAATTCACAATATTTTCGCAACGCCTAATGTCGACGGATTATACATGAGAAAAAAAAGAAAAAACCTAGTAAACGATATAGAAGCTGTAAAAAAATTCACGAGAAAACCAATCTACTAGGGAACTTGGATTTGTACAAAAAAATCCCACATTACTGCTTAGTTATAGTGCTTTGAACATCGAACTCCTAAATTATTATGCTTAGTGATCTTATACGGGTACTCTGATGATTTTTTATCGTGTTAAGTGTTAAATTACATTGGGCGCTATTCCTGTTTCCCGAAAAGGACATCCCGGGTTTCGACATCTTGCGTCCAACATACACCCTTCGGGAGCCGTCTGGTCGATTGGCGGGTTGATTAAACTGTAGTGAGCAGATCCGAACATTTCTTTGATTTTCTCCAGAGCGGTCATGGTACACTTGACCATTTTTCTCTCATCTGTGCAACATGCTCCACCTCTTACGCGACCCATGCTTTCACGCGAGCCGTTCGACATGTCACGTGTATAAATTTTAAAATTTACAACAATATTGGAAATTTTTTATGTTACAGGTGTACTGTTTAGTTGATACATTGCGCTGATTATTGAAAAAACAAACAACACTGTGGCCAGCAGCATATTTAATATGTCAGCAAAAATGTATTAAATAATTAAATATATTTACCACAGTTTAAGATAATACCTTTATTATCTTATATCGTGATATTTACTAAGAAAACACAAGCTTCGCGCGTGGAAGCTTAACAATTACTTAAAGTAGCCACTTATTACTATAACAGAATTAAAAATAATAATATGAGTATATCACAGACGACGTGGTAGAAATCTTGAAAGCTTTAGGCTAGAAAAAAAATTGTTAGTTATAATAATAATAACTAAGACGTTAATAACTTAACTTAATTTAATCTCTTGATTTTAAATTAATTTTTTTCAACTCAAGGAATTTTCAATAAAAAATATGTATACAAGGTAATCAACTTATATATATCATCATAAACCACTCAATATCTCACTGGGCTTAGTTAATAATTTAATTTTCTTTTTCCATAATGTTTTTATATTATGTGATCTCAATTTCTCACCATTTTTTTGTTTTTACCTGCCTCCTAACTTAGTTTTTTTGGGAGAGGGGTAAAAACAAATACGCCAAACGACATACCTATTCATAATTAGGTATTATTCATAATTGGTTTAACGAATTTGCAGATCCCCTCGCCAATGCCATGGAAATAAAATCAATATTGTATTTATTTTAATGTACGTTACGCTGATATTATACCATTGTAGGTATTAGATATTAAATATTATTGTTTTTTGACAATGTCCGCGTTCAAACATGACACTATCTTGTCGATTGACTCGATTTCTTTGCCAGAACGAAATTGGACAACAAGTTATGTTCAACACGAACGTCTTGCTAAACAACTGTCAAACGTGGAAACTTATTCGACTCAATTTACGGATGTATCATTATTCAACGATTCGGAAAGTGACGTGGACGATACCGCGGAATACACTTTGGCCATAATCAAACCAACAGCTACCCGACACATGTACAAAATCGAAAGTTTCATGACAGACAAATGTTTCATCATAAAAAAAGTACCAAGCCGGGTTCGCACAACACGTAGAACAGAGTATAACGTTGTTAGCTGTCGTTATTGATTTCAGAAAGACGTGTTTCATTTGAAGAAAGAAGAGGCCGCACATTTTTACCGGAGCCACAAGTTTGAGTTGTACTACTCAAATTTGGTCGAGCACATGACTAGCGGTCCGATAATTGTATACGTTCTGATGAAGTCAGATTGCATCGCAGACTGGAAGAGATGTATTGGTCCGGCTGACGTGGCCTATGCAAAACAATACGAACCGTTCACGTTACGAGCAATTTATGGCAAAGATTCTGGAAATTGGTCTGTTACTAACGGTTTTCACGGCAGTAGCAGTCGGCGTGCCGCAGAGAAAGAGATACTGTTCTTTTTTCCATATAGTAAACCTAAAACTATCAGTACTCCTATTAGTAAACCTATTTGTACTCGTATACAAACGGATAAATGTATCACTTGTATATTGTGCGTAGGTAATTTAAGAGACGCTTGGAGTTTAGACAACACATTGGAATTTATACATGCGGTCATGATGCCAACAATAACCAAAGGGATCGTGGAACTGTACAAAGCAGAGCCTGTAGATCCTCTTAGATGGTTTGGAAAATGGCTACTGTTAAACAACTTGACTACGGCGAAGCTGGAAGCTTAGCAATCGTCAAAACAATACTGTCAAGAAGAAATCAGGTGATAAGATGGACAATGCAGGTTCGAAAAACTAGACATCTCGGTAGACAACCCGTATTCAAAACAATTTGTATCTAGTATCACGTTGTCTGCCATTTTGTATGGATTTTTTCAACTTATATACATTACATAATTTCTGGTAGTATAATAAGTTATTAAAATAACTTTTGCTTATTTAATAACGTTGTCACAAATATTTTGTACTTACATAAAAGTTACGCTTATAGGTATGATGCACGTCAGTTTAGCTTTAATCTGAAGCTGATTCTAAAACAAATACATTTAGTGATTTTTTTGGATATTTAATATTTTTATTTTTTAAAAATCTATAAAAGTGTTAAAAAAATATTTTTTCCTTTTAAGGAGTAAGGGATTTAAACTTAAATTTAAATCTAAAGCCTAAATTGCTATCTAGAGGTAGGTATGTGTCCAATATAAAATTGTTCTATAACACTTTCGACTTGATTTGACCATATTTTAAACAATTACATCATGTTACCATAAAAACCTACAAAATCGGTAAAATTGTTTGATTTCCCCCTCGATTTATTGACTTATTAACTTATTGACGCATAAATACAATAATCCATTGTGTTACGAGGAGTATCATGCAAATACTGCAACGTGTATCCATTATCTCGAAGACTTGTCGTTATGCTTCCGTCGGCTCGTTATTGATAATGTAATAATTATTAGCCCGATGAATAGATCCGATGGCGAGCATTATCCAAAGTGGTACACTTGATCAATACCCATACAGATAATTATATACCTACTGAATGCGCGCAATGATTGCCGAGATCTATGAAGTAATAACGTCTTCAGGTCTCACGATTTTTTAATTTTTTTGTGTTCGCAGCGGATCGTCATGTATAATAATAATGCAATAAAGCACTTATATTGTTGTGATAGACTCCGGCATCAACCGTGCAATAGCGAGGATTTACTAACGTTTGGAACTAAGGCTTTTCATGTCGGGGGAAACAATCGAATAATTAATGTAGATTTTATTATTTATGTAATTGACTGTTGTATTACATTGGAATTAAATTGTTTTTTTAAATTTAAACATCAGTAACACCCAACTGTGTTTAATTGGTTGTTATATCAACATAAACTAATGGCTAATTATTATTATTATTTTATCCAAACGGCACACTCTACGTCAAGTATAACAAACTAAAAAAGAAAGACAAAATATATTATGTGGAATGCACGAAGAATAGATGACGAGTAAGAATTTGCAAAAAAATGAAAAGTGAACTTGAAACTTCAGTAACTTAATAATTATACAAAACTGGTTGTCGACCCATCAACATTTTTAGTACATTATTCTCAATTTAAAAAGTTAATGAAATGCGTTACCATTTAAGTTTCAAAAGTTGTTACCAAAAAAACTAATTTGGGAGGGGGGTAATAACAAAAAAAATTATAAGAAATTGGGATCACATTGTATAAAAATATTATGGAAAATAAAATTGAAAATATTATTAAACCCTATGAGATATTGAGTGATTCACGATACAACCCTGTTGACCAAAAGAAGTTTATAAAACAATTTCGAACAATTTTTAAGAGGTCGGCCCGATGACCGCGAGGTTTGACTCAGAATGCTTTATATGATTATATGTATCACTTATGTTAGAAATTAAAATAAATTAAAATCTATAATTGTAAATCGGACAAGATCATTTTTAATATTGGATACATAAATAATTCTCTCTTTAAGAGTTCAAAATGACTAATAAAATGAGTTAATCGAAATATTTACAAAAGTGTTTTGGAACTCGAACTTCTAAAAGAACGTTTGTAAATCCGGAAGTTGCAATTTTTGGGAACATGTCGAAAAATTGTACTATAAATCAAAATTTTAAAATATATATATGAAATATATATAAACAATTGTTTATACTTCTTAAATTTATCTCAATTTTCAGTCAAATTAAATATAGTCAAAATAACTTTTTTCTAAAAAAAAAACAAAGTCAGTTTCCACAAAACTAATTTTATTATCAATTTTTTTCGTCTTTTTCGATAATGGTCTTCTCCGGAAAAATTACCAGGATATTAATTTCTACTCTCTGTTTTATATCGTTTACTCTGGTCCCATTGACCAATTGTTTGGTTTCAACTTCCTATACTGGACACAGAGCCGGAAGTGCGTTTACGGTCCATGCTACCACGTCATAATATCTACATCGTACACCAGTATGTAGGAGACCGTATTAAGCGAATAAAATTATTGTTTTTTTAACATTCCTCCCGGAAATAGCTTTAGTGAAATGGGTTGGTTTGGAATACTTGTAAAATAGCTACACGCAAATTTACGTCTTTACGGTCACCGACGACAGGTCACTCGTATGTTAGGTACACCAATATATATATATATATATTATTATATGTATAAAATATTTTAGAGTCAAAGTAAACGGTTTTCAGAACTATAAAATCGCAACCCCGCTGTTTTGTCCACACAGGCGTATACGGTCGGCGTTCGGCGAGTTCAGCTGAAACTACTAACATGAATTAGGCCTGGGCAAGGAAAACCGTAAGTCGAGTAGGTACTTTGTATCACTTGTTGCGATTATTTAATTTGTTGATTTTTGGAGACGAGCAATTTACCGCACTCATAACCTATCACACGGACTTTGTTAATGCGTTTTACAGCCTCTAAGTTTGTCGCGCATAATTTCTAAACGCTTCATACCTATTAACGTAGGCAGATCAATAAAAACTATAACCGAACTGCTTGTCAGCCGATACGACCAACGGTAAAATTAATACTATTGGCTGTATATATATATATATATATATATATATATATACAGGTATTATTTCTTTTACGGCTTATTAATAAAGTGACATTATTTTTTTTTACGTTTGTGTTTACTTAAGTATAAAAACAAGTATACACACTAGATGTAATATATTAACGAGTTTATTAACCGTTCAAGGGCTTGAAGAACTATAGGTGTGTAGTAAAACAAAATTAGGATTTATAAAAATATAAACAACTCCGTGTGATACGTTACCTATGCGCATACTGCATTATGTAAGTTGCTAATCTATCTTGCTCAAATTCGAGTCTTTATACCTCGTAGGTACCGTTTGTCTAGCTCAGTTCTGTTTTAGGTTTCACTCAACAATCTACGTTATTGGTAAGTATGACCAACTCGCAAGACGTGACCGGCCACCCCGTCTTATGTTTCACTTTTTTTATCACAACCGTTCATAATACACAGGTAAATACTTCACATGTAGCGTTATCGAGCTAACACAATAAATGTGCGTGTGAGAGATAGAAAGAGACAAAAAAAAAGTAACTTATGTCAGGCCGCGGGGAGGACTATATTATTAACTCTGCGGCAGACAAAAGCGTCAGGTGGAAAATCTGCACTTGCACCAACACTTGCACCAAAGCCAAGATCACTACAAACGGCCGCCGTTCTATATAAGTATCGTGTGCATTTACAAACATACATATATAAATATAAAATATAATGTATGTACGTTTAGTATATGTTGTGTTACAGGGCGGCTGCGTAAACTAGAGATAACACACCCTTGATAGAGCGGGGAGCAAACGATTAATGGCCGTCTGAGTCCGAGCTCAGCGTGGGCGACCGACACACACTAACACAAGTATATAATAATGATATAAAACGTCCTTATGCATTTATATGCATGCGCACTATCATTGAGTACAATATTATATACTCAATGGTACTGTACAGTATAATGTGTATGTGTGTGTGTGTGTGTGTGTGTTCAAACAGTAACTCCCACATAGATATACTATAATGGTCTCTTTATTGGTTAACAACTGTTTTTTATTTCTAATTGATCACCTCTGACCGCATAATGTAGACCGCATAACGCGTTTTATAAACACATAATATATAAAATACAATATTTTATTGCGTTGATTTCGCTTTTAGGGCGCGCGCACGTGTGTTGTGTACGGACATAATAAATTGTATTTATATATAAATACAATATATATATATATATATATATACGTATATAAATTAACAAATTTTGTTCGAGGTACAAACACCTGGCAAATATTTTATAGACCGTATCGAACATATTAATTATTATTGTCTTCGTCAACTCATTATCGCTCGGAATCTGCTTAGAGACTCGAAACTGCATTCAACTAAGTCAACTTTACACTCATTACTTAATAGTGGCGGCTCATTTACTTCAATATATCAGCCACTCCTTTTTAATTGAAGTCGTGTAAAATTCGACATTTAGAATATTGTTCAAACACGAGATAAAGAAAAAAAACGTCGATTAAAGGTCATGCGTTTTTTAGATAAATGAATTTTGGAATTTTTTCTTGAATTATATTTGGACAGTGGTTAGGTATATAATATATTATCATTAAATAGTTTACCAAGTTAGATTGGATGTGTTAATCACCATTAATAAGGTGTAAAAGTACTATAAGAATATAGTTAAAAGTATTTAATTTGTAAGATTTATTAAAAAATAATTTAGGATTAAGTTTTCTTATTGATAACGAAATGGAATAATACATAAATAATTATTATTTATTGCCACAAATAAATATTTACTTCCTCAATTTCTTTAAATTTTTATTTGACATTATTGATGAATATAAAAGATTTTTTTTATGGAAAACTGATATTTTGTCTGAAAGATCCCACTCTATATGCTTCTTAACTTATTCCAACCGCACCGTTAATCTGCTGCCAAAGTGTAAAACTATAATTTAGTACTTACTCAATGAGTTATAGTTCCCTATGGCTATGTTTATTGATAAAAATATTATATTTGCATATTTTTTACAGACATACAGAGAATCAATAGGTATAACTGGCTTCTATAAAACTATACAGGAGAGCAAAATGAAAAATATTACTTCAGTGTCCGTATGGGTTATATTTATTCGTTTTCTTTGATACTTATTTCTAAAATTGATTAAAAAAATCGTAA